AAATGTGGTCTATTATTCAAATACTATATCTGTAATATGATTGCACATACCTGTGACAACTGCATTCTACAAAGAGAATGCAAATAAATGTGATTTGCATCAGATGAGCATTGTTGCTTCCTGTTTGTTTTTTATTCGGAGAGTCACAAATAGGGGTGATGGTCCAGAAAGGTTATGGCTTTGATTGGAGACTTCAGCTGAGCTGATAAGGGGCAAAGGTGGCTCAGGGTTGCCAGTATTTACTGATTTTTTGGCAGGAGCGGAATACTGGAGCAGTCTTTAATGTAAACTACAGCAGCATGCTAAGCATCAATGGCTCTCTATAAAGCCACCCAGCAGTGCAGAATAATAACCAGTATGCTTCATCCTTCTGCCACTTCTCCCTTTTCTTCCACTTCCCCTCCATTGAAAATGTGTCGGATAGTTTAGCCGTATTGTACCCAGTAATTAGCATGGGAGTTTAGCTGGTAAAATATTAACAATGTTTTGAATACTGGCATGCACATTTTGCATTTTCTGGTTCCTCAAGGCGTTACGTTTTAAAATAGTTTATATGGGATGTTTTTTGGTTCAGAGTAGAAAAAGGGAATGTTCATCGAAAAGTAGATAGTATATTATGAGAGATAATATACTATATGATGCTTTTCTGTCTGCAGATCTTAACATGCTTTACAAAGTACCATTCTCTGCATTATACAAATAGGGAAACTGACATACGGGGAGAAAAGTGACTTGCCCAAGATACCCAGGGGCAGCCTACCGGTGAAGCTATTGTCTCTAGTCCTACTTCCGCTCCTCATTCTGTAGTCAGTCTTTGTAGAAGCTAGTCTGTGCATGGATAGGAAAGGTTTCATTTCACTACTATTGTGTTATGAAATGGCATGTGGAGGGAGGAAAGAGCTGATGCTGTTTCATATTTGCTGCAACTGATGGCTTTTATACTTTCACTCTTGTAATAGTATAGAAAACACTTTCTTCATGTAGTTAATGATCCACAAATGAAGAACTTTCTTTTTCATTTGGGCTCAACTCTGTGGTCCATTTTATTTGCAAAACCACACAGACATCTCTAGTTCCCTCTCATTTTAGGTTCACTTCTACAAAATTGATATCTCTGTCCTGTGGTGGCTCTTCCCTGGGCCAATTCCCTGCCCCTGTAGAATCTCACAGCATTAAATTATTGATTAGCTGTTCTTTCTTTCTTCTCCCCATTGGTCATCATATGTCTTTCTTTAACCTAAACTATCACCCATGCTAATAATTTTCAGCTTTATTCACATTGTCTTTCTACCATAAATATTGCAATTCCATTCTTTATGCGGTCTAAGTGAAGGCTCATCCCTCCAGATGCCAGTATGTGTAGAATTCCAGCCAATCTCATGTGTAGTGCCTCATGTGTACAGAAATGTGTGACCACATCATTCTTATACAACTTCACTAATTTCCTATTCACCAGTTCAAAACGACCAACATTATAAAATTCTTTATGGCTTTTCAGTGTTTCATAGTCTAACTCATCTCTGCTCCTGGATCCCTCTGTTCATCACATGCCCTATTACAAATCCCATTATCTTCAGAGAGCCATGAGTCAAGTAATGGAAGGGGCTGAGTACAGACTTCATGTTTGATAATGAAGAAATGAAATTCTTTCATAAGCCCATGCAGCATAATGAGATCTTTATTAAGGGCAAAAAAAAATTTGGACTGGTTTTCACTTCTGCCTTCTCCTACCCAGAGACACACAGATGACTAGGAGATTCAGCCACTCCACTTTCCAGCAGCAGGGTTTAATCTTAAAAAAATAATCTACAAATATTGGTTAATCTTTCCTTTTACAATAGTTGCTATTCAATAACCAAAATTAATAATAATCAATTCTTAATACAGAAGATAGGAGTTTGTTACACTTGATGTGTTAATAGCTTCTAATGATTTGAATAAGAGGTTGGTTTATATGCACTGAAACATTAGCATATATATCCCTGCTGTATCCTGCCTAAAATAAAGGGTTCTTTTATCCATATAAATACTTAATTCTTTATTGCTCTGTGCTCACCTCTTGGCTAAAACTAGATCTTGAGGTCGTGGTTTCCACAGACTCAGGCTGTACTTTTTAGAAATGTATTTCCTTTTCAGCAGTTATTGCGGGGCATTTCTCCATTCCACTCCAGACTTGTAAGAATGTAAGAGTGGTGCAAAATATTACAGTTTGCATTAATTATGATATTGCAGTATTTGAGGTGGTAGTTGTAGAACACTAATTTTATACTTAAGAGAAACCATCTGATTTGGTGGCTGGTGCAAATTGAGTGTAACTCAAGGGCCATTACAGCTCATTTCTTCATTCTATTTGCTCCTTTATCATAATGCTAACAGAGCACAATGAAAATACATTGAAAGCCAAAAACGAAAATGCTTTCATATAATTTATACATGAGCTCTGCAATCTGCAATCACAAGATATCATTTAACCACGGGCCTATGATTTTAAGAAAGGATTAATAACAAGAACATCCACAATTACATTAGAGAGGGTACAAAAGAATATAAGGGATATAAATGATCTTCCTTCCAACCACTAAGCGCAGTGGTTTGGAAGAAGCTTCTAGGGCAGATTATTCCAGGTTATTCACTATGAGGTTTATCAAACCCTCTTCAGAAGCATTTGATACTGGCCACTTTTGAAGATGTGGTACCAGAGCAGACTTGCTATAGTCCATTCCAATATGCTAGTTCATACGTTTGTGGTTTGGGTTGCTTGCTGGTTTAAATCCCTGGGAATTCTGAACTCCTCGTACAATAAACCTTTTGAGGATTAACTAAGTCTGAGCTTTCGTTGTATGTCCTGCAGGCTTTCAGATGTCACCATTTGGAAAAGACTCCTTGGAAGCTCTGAGGACCTTAGCATTTTCAGAGAACCCTGCTTTACAGCAGTCTGCTGCTCTGTATTACTTGCATATGAGTCAGCACCGTAAGTAAGCGCCTTCTGGTGCATTTGAATATTTTCATAAATGCAGTTAAACAAAAAGCATTTTTTCCCAAACTATTAAGTTCCTTAACAAATTTAAGATTTTTTTTTAATCTCTTGTTGCATCATGTATATTAGAGAAAAAGGAAGTGTGGTTACAGTTCCATAAGTGCAGAGTCACTTGTGGAATGAGTGTCAACTGGCTTTATTATAGTCAGATGATCCTGATGACTACAAGAAACATGTCACCTACATAACTATGGCAATTCTGTAGAATTTCAACACAGCCTTTATAGGATATGCATATTACATTGGTATTGGGCGTACCTTGAACCCCCATAAGTTACACAGTGGTCTCCAACTTTAAGCACAAGAACACTTTTTGAATTTAAGTCAGTGCAGGATTTACCTCAAACCCAAATGCCTCTGCTCTGCCCCTTTGCTGAGGCCTCGCCCTCCTCACTCTGTGAATATGGGGTACAGGAGAGGGGGGCAGAGAGATAGTAGTGCTCCCCTGCCTGTCTCCCCAACCCTGCACAACAAGCAGGATGCTCCCAGGGGTAGCTCTGAGGCTCTGGGCAGGAGCAGCAGGGCAGCAGTAGAAGTGGCAGCTGAAGTGCTGGCACTTGATAGTCTCCCAGCCAAACCAGTCAGGATCACCTGTCAGATGCTCTAAGATCTACCGGTAGATCCCAATCTACTGGTTGGTGACCACTGGTGTAGGATATTCTGGGAGAGAAGAGGAGTGTCCTATTAGAGCTATATTGTGGAACCCTAGGAGATGACAACTACTTAGAAGCCAGCTGGTAGTGAAAATTCAGGAACAAGGTATTTACAATGGCTAGTCCGTGGCAGTTTCTTAAATGGTCTGTGAACAGGAAGCAGGTGACAGCATACAGTTTTCCAGTGGAGACTATGCAGTTGAAAGTTGGATATTGAGGTTTTTCAGTGTGGTCAGACTTGATGTGAAATAACTCTGGATTTTTAGTAGTGTTTTAAAAATATGGGGAAGGAAGCTATCTTAGAAGTAACACACAAAGTAGGGATAGTGGAGGGGAACAGTAAGTGAATTTTTTTCTAATAGAGGAGTATTCAATGTTTTGTATATCAGAAAATATGACAAATTCTCCCCTTGACTATACTTGTGCAACTCCCTTGATTCCAATAGAATTACATCGGCAGAGAATTTGGCCTGATGTATTTACAGTGTATTGTTCTCACTGCCAAAAAGCACACATAGCGATCCAAACAAGGATCTTATATGGGGCAGAAAGACTTGTTTGGCATTAACAATAATTTCTGTTTCTCTCCTCCTTCTTCCCCATGGTTGACCAATAACATTTCTAAACTATCTGATTATTAAAATTGTTAGGGAACAGCTTGGCCTGATCTCCTTCCACTGGAATATAAGTGCACAATACTTAACTAGCATAGCACTTGGGCCAGGAGGTACATGAAGAAATGACAAACTACTAGAATAAGTGGAAAGACTTGTTCTGTATTTCCTCTCATTTCTACAGTGAACATCCAGCTGCCTGCTGAGCATCTGGAACCCTATTACGCTTTACTACAGTAACAGCTTGGCCTGATCTCCTTCCACTGGAATATAAGTGCACAATACTTAACTAGCATAGCACTTGGGCCAGGAGGTACATGAAGAAATGACAAACTACTAGAATAAGTGGAAAGACTTGTTCTGTATTTCCTCTCATTTCTACAGTGAACATCCAGCTGCCTGCTGAGCATCTGGAACCCTATTACGCTTTACTACAGTCCAGTGACATGGATGTATATTTCTTGCTGGAAGGAAACAGTGAGTAAATATCAAGAGGTATTTCTGCTCCTGGTAGAAACAAATTTCTCTGTTCATCAAGATCTAATTTTCCTCAAGAGTACCTGTACTAGCACTGCATTTTCATCCCGCCTGATTGAGAACATGGCACTTGTCTTTTCAGCAACAAATACAGCTTGTAGAATCAAACACTGACTTTTAAATAATACTTAGTTTTTTTGCAACTGGATCTTATTTTCAGTGTGCCTTGAGGAAAAAAATGAGATCTGTTTTTTTTGAAAGGTTCACTTATTTCTTCATAAAAAAGGGCTAGCTTCACTCTGGCTGGACCAAGGAGTTATAGATGACATTGCCCTAGACCAGTAAAGCTCACTACACTTTATGGGTTAGCAGGGCAGGAACTGAATTTACAAGGTGAGATAGGCACTGGTACCCTCTTCTGCTCTTCCCAGGAACCATGCCAGTGTAGACATTCTATTACACTACCCTGCACTAGCAGAAGCCAGCATCAATATAGTATGAATCTAGCCCATTATCTTTAGTGACTTACTGTAGTGATGGACTATTTGCATATGAATAATACAAATTATGGGGCTCAGCTAGAATCTATAATCGGGAGACCAAACTTACTGAATTGCAGTAGCAAGTTGGGTATGTCAGTCTTCAGAAGTTTGAATCTCAAGACACACCTGCCAGGTGTCAGGGATTCAGATCTTTAGGAATCACCTGCCAGGGCTTGGGGTTTTAGACCCTCTCCTGGAGATGCACCCTTACAGTTTTTCATATATCTCAAGAGAACAACAGAATAATACAATGGTAGATTTATATATGTTTATATAATAGTAAAGTCTAAAAAAAGTAAACGTTATAGCCATAAGCATTTTGGGATAATTGATTCAAATCTAATTAAATGCTAAATTTCTTTTGCATATTTTAATATACAGACGCCAAAGGAATACAAAAGAAGGTATGATTCTTGCATCGATAAAGGATGTGTTAACTAGTTACGGTTTTATCTGTCTCTGAATAGTGAACAAAGAACTAGTTGTTCAAATGGGTTTACTTGAGCCAATTCTGGAGCTTCTGGAATCCTGTGATTCCACTGTCCAGTGTAACTCCTGTGCCTGCATAATGACTTTAGCGGTCTCAGGTCAGTACAATGTACTTTTCCTTTATTCACTGTAATGAACAAATGCAATTTGTATGTTACACCCCCTGCATGTGAAATAACCACTTGTGAGTAGAGTTGTCACAAGCTACATCTGGAAGTTTCACTGTTCAACCATGACAGAGTTAATCCATTTGACAACCAAAGTTAGTGCACTTCTTGAAGTTGCTCTGAGACTATGGTGATGTGGGTGGTATAAGTACATAAGAACAAAAGAACCCTTCAGAAAATTTATTACAAATTTTAAAATTTGCTAAATTCTAAATCTGAGAATTCTGAGTTTAAGAATTACAGTGCACCCTCCCTCGTGTGGCAATAAGCTCCCAACCGATGAAGCAAAGTGAAGCTGCTTATAATATTCAGAAAATAACTTCCCCTAAGGAAGCGGAGATATCCAATAATTGCCAATTTTAAAGAGTGGCCAAGAACAGAAGAAAAAATCCATTAAGATGAAAGATTGATAGGTCAGTTCTTTCCAATGTCAACATGGGATTTCTGAGTAAGAGTACATAACTACCTTCTAAAGTCACATTTGAAATCCTCTGCAGATGCTCCGCATTGTTGTTTTCCCACCTTGGTCAGTGCCTAGGAGTAATCAGTCCTGGACATTACTACATCTTCGAGCTGGAATTCTACATTGAATCCAATATGGAATTTTTAAAAAGGCCCAAGATTACTAACCAGGAGTAAAAAATGGCAAACAGAGGACTAGATTGCTAAAAAAAACATTGGCAATGGCATATACAGCCTTTACTTCAAGGATACAGATTTGTATTCAATTCTAGATGTAGTATTTGAAAGTTGCTAACATCTGTTCATTGTTCATGGCCTATGGGATACAAGATGGTGGCCACCACAAAACATACCAGAATGGTTGGCAATAACTGGCACTGTGGTTAAAAGTCTCAGCAGCTTTTCAAAACTGACTTGTTTCAGTGACATTTTTAGATTTCAACAAAACAAAATTTTGGGACAGAAGATTGCCCTGTTGAAAATGTTCCAGCTAGTTCTGGTTCAAACAAGTCAGCCTCCCTCTCTTGAATTCATTTATTTGGGACACTCAGCTAGTCAAGGAGCATTATGAACCTAGAACTCTTAGTAAGAAAGAAGCCTGAAAGTAGTAATAGCATCTGCAATGTATGAAAATAAAGGAATATTGCCAAAGCAAGCAAAACTGATAGACCAAAATTCATGATATTAAGTGAAGGTAAAACAACCAACAGTAATTCTAGCATAAAGCATAGGCATAGTAATACAGAGCAGAGAGAATCTGAACTGCATGTTCGCAGCACAAATTGAGGGAGGCCTCATGTTGGCTGAGTAAGGAGAACATCTCATGTGTTTTAATTATAAAGGAAAGTCAAGTATGAAAACAGTTTTGATGATAAATTCAATTTCATGGGGTGTCTCTCTTTATTATCAATAGTTGTGCACACACCTCTCTGGGAATTGTAGCACCAAGAAAATTTGCAAGTGAACAGAAATGGTTTACATTGACAAACTGAAATGTAGGTTTCAAGAGGAGTTCTTTAAATCCATAGAGCTAATTGGAGGAAGCTATTAATTCATCAGCACTGAAGTGAGGGAACATTTGGCTACACGGATAGTCCCTTTCTAAAAGCACAGTAAGTAGGGCCTGAGCAATGAGAGCAATACAGTGACTGAAATTACTCCGGTAAGCAGGTGGTCCAGAATAATAGCAGTCTATTCAGCTGCAGCATTTATGGAAATTAGAATAAAAAATTAATCCTCGGTGGGGTGCATTTCTCCATTCATCCCACTGATTAGCCACATTGCTACAGATCAGCCACAATGCATGGGTGATACCAGCACTGGAGCAGGGAGAGGAGAAGAGTGAAGAGAACGAGTTATATAAAAAAGCATCTTGTAAGCTCACAGTTACAGTATTCATCCAAGACTACAGAGCATCAGCTCAGTGGAGGCATTTGTGAGTCAGTGAATGACCCTATGGAAAAAACACAGGGTATTCTTGGTAATGGGGCTAATTATGTCACAGATATTTGCTATGGTCTCTCTCTATCTTTCCATTATAAGAGATAACAAACTAACCCATGGGTTCCCAAACTGGGGGGCATGAAAAAATTCCAGGGGAGGCACGAGGCAACCCAGACTCCCCCCCTCCCCCCCCATCAAGTTTTGCTGCCCTGGTCCGTATTTGGGGGGGCGGGGGGGGGGAAAGGAGGGTTTTCCAAAAATCAAAAAGGGAGGCGTGATGCCAAAAAGTTTGGGAACGACTGAACTAACCATTCTCAGCCCAGTAGGAGACTTCTAGATTAATCTCCTCATGCTAGTCTTCTGTCTAAATGACTACTAAGACTGCCTGAGTGATCGAAAGTCCCAGCACTGGCCAGGAACATTGAACATTCAGCCATCTATTCATTCAGCCCCTGTCAGCAGCAGGCCCCATGGGGCTCAAGCAGCCCCCTGCCCACAGTGGGTGGAAAGCTGCCCTAGTCTCCACTGGTTAACCAGAACCGGTAAGCATCACCCATTAAGGATGATGCTTACTAGGGATGTTAGACATCAATTAATTGAATAATCATGGAACTACATCAAAACTTAGTTACATGATTTTTTGATGGTCTTACATCAAAACTTAGTTACATGATTTTTCGATGGTCTCTGAGGGCGGGGCTGGTAGCCAGTGCACTCCCAGCCCCACTTCTGGGGAATCCCGACATCCTGCATGGTTGCCTCTGTATCAGAAGCAGCAGTGCAGAGTAGCAGCAGCCTTTGTCCGCAGGGGCCTGAGCTCCCAACAAACAGAGGCTGCACCAGCACCCCACAGAGCAGCTTCTGTCTGCAGCGAGCCTGGGACTGCTGTGGACAGAGGCCGTTCTGTGGTAGACTCTGCTGCCCCACCCCCTGTGGATGGAGGGAGAGAAGCAGCTTCGCAGAGCCGGTGTTCATGGGGAATCGGCTTTTAACACATCAGGTTTATAAGATGGAAGGTAGAAATGTCTCAATTTTAAGTGACATAGGGTATGTCTACACTACCACCCTAGTTCGAATAGGAAGCCTAATCCGAACTATCTAGTTTGTGCCGCGTGTAGCCGCGGGCACGGAGTCCGCACTAGCGGACATTTAAAATGGCGGTGCCCGGAAACATGCAAATGAAGCCTGGGGAAATTCAAATCCCGGGCTTCATTTCCAAGTTAGTATGATTACATTAACCACCCTCGTTCGAACTAGGGTGGTAGTGTAGACATACCCATATAGTGTTACCTTTCACCTTCAATAGCCTAGGAGAGGTTTGTGTTCCAGCTATTCTGAATCACTAAATTTCATCTATGATTAACTATTTAAAATGTCTGCAGTTAGTATCTCTCATTTTGAGCTCATTGAATTCACTCAGAGGCTACCAAGGGACTTTAACAAATAGTAAAAATTCAGATAAAAATCCCCCAAACTGGAATATTAGACTTCATTTTCAGGGTTTATTAGATTAATGGGAAGATGTATTGAAAGGATATTCTTTTTATTCTTTCTTGTGGCATGTTTTCCCCAGAGTCCAACCAGGAAGCCATCAGCTCAGCAGGAGTTGTACCCTTGCTGGCACTTGCCAACTCCTATGATCCTAGAATCCAGCAAAATGCAGTTGGAGCTATTCTTAACCTCACACGATCAGGTACTTTCAGGTTAATGATTTATCTACATATTGCCAAAAGCAAGTACCTTGCAACTAGAAACAGCCACATTTTATGCAGGATAGGCTGGGATAACTTTGGAATCCTGAAAACATGTTATTTTCTTGGTAGATGGCATTCATGATAATGACAACTTTGGCTTATTCTTTAAATGCAAAAAGCTTGGACTTTGATAGCTAATATACAGACCCACCTGTTAATAATTTGCAACAGCAAGGGCTTGATTATCAACCCAGTTGAATTAGAGTGCAGTCTGTTAAGAGATTACTCAGGAAATTGACAAAAATCACTTGCTTAAAAGCAGTGATTATTCTAGGAAAGAGAACTGTACTCATAACCTTGAGGGGCACTCTAAGGTAATCTCTTAAAATGGAAGATAACTGTGAACTATGGTATAAAGGTTTTAATGTATATCCTATATCCAAAATCTGGTGTTGCACATTATACATTAGGATCAGCATTATGGGCCTGCTCCTGTTTCATTGAAATGTTTGCAAGAACTTCAGCAGCAACATGATGTGTCCTTCTGTGATAGAAGACAATGTTATTGTTCATTAATTCTGAAACAAAATCAATGGAAAAATAATGTCATACACGTCAATCCCAAGCATCAAAGATGCTATGGCCATGGCTGACATGCCTGCCCCCATTAGCTAAGTTGTGGGTAAAGAGTGAGAACTCTTACACTTACACATTTGCAATGTATTGTTTAAAAAGATGTTTTATATGAAATAGTAAGAAATGGCTTATACCAGTGTGTCTGATCTCTTCTCAGCACTTCTAGTAATTTAATCTCCAACTTAAAAAATAACAAGGAAAACCTGTACGAGCGGCTTTCTGGTCATTATGGATAAAATGATTTTGTCTTGCTGTTGTAAACAAGCGATCCTTTAGCTCCCATGTAGACTTTGTCTTATCTGGAGTGTTAACTGCATTTTGGGATACATCTGGATGATCCTAGATCACTCAACACTGCCCAACAGTCCTTTTTACTCAGAAAGCCTTCACGATGTTGCAGCCATTTGGTTGAATGTTGAGGAAGGGGTGATCTACCCACTGGATCCTTGTGCACCCTTTCACGTACTAAAATGTGCCCTCTTTCTCACCTTGCAGAGAGGATCCAGCAAATCCTGTGCAAGGAAGGAGCCCTCCCAATTCTCATCCTGCTTCTAGAGTGTCCTGACTCAGAAGTACAGGTAGAGTTAAAACAAGCCAGAATTTATATATAATAAAGCATATTACCTAATCCTGGAGCAAGAATAGCTGTTGGAATTAAAAAATACAGTGTAAGAACTGGGGGCTTCTCCAGGTTTTTGGGAATAGAGGAAAGGAAGGAGAAATAAGGAACACAAGGGGCTGCTGACTGTGTTTTGTTTTTACTTCAGTGAACCAATAAGTAATGGTGTCATAGCAAAATGCTGAATAGTTGTAGAAATGCTGCTTTGGGCATGCAAAACAGCTTCAGCTGCAATAGGAGAAAGCTGTTATGAAAATACACACACACACACATACAAAGCTGGTGTAAAGGTACCTTTCTTTTCTCTAAGCAGAATAATAGATTTTATGCTTCCCTATTATCCTTTTGTGTCAGAAAAAGTTAATGGGGACTATTCATTATATTATTTTGTTGTTGATATAGTTGTTATATTACAACAGCACTTAAGAACTCCAGTCCTGGAGCAGGTCCTCATTATGCTAGGCACTGTGGAAAAAATCAAAAGAGTTTATTATCTCAGGCCAAGTCTACACTAGGAGACAAAGTAGAACTATGCAACTCTAGCTACGTGAATAGTGTAGCTGGAGTCTACATACCTTAGTTCAAATTTCCACAGTGCCCCCATTGAGAGACGTTGGCAGGAGAAACTATCCCATCGACTTCCCTTATCTTCTAGTAAGTGGAGATGAGGTCTAAGTATAACACAAGAGACAATAGTCTGGTATGGAAGACAGCAGGAACACAAGGGGCTGTTGACTTTGTTTTGTTTTTACTTCAGTGAACCAATAAGTAATGGTGTCATAATAAAATGCTGAATAGTACAGGTCAGCAAGATAACCAATGATATCAGAACACCAGCTTCCTGTCAGTTGTTCTTTTATATATAAGATTTCAACTATTCCTTTGAGGGCAAACATACATCAGACCAGTTAAGCCTGGCTCTTTATTTTACCTCCACATTTTTATTTTCCCTTTAAAAGTTTTCCAATATTTTGGAATGTCATTTAAAAAAAAATCTTTTAGTTTGTTGTATGTAACAGCTTTTAAGTAACTAATAGTTTTCAAGTAATTAAATGAGTGTTACAAGGAGAACAGAGAAAAAAATATTTTCCTTAACTCCTGATGATAGGAGAAGTAGCAATGGTCTGAAAGCCTTTTAAGACCTAAAAATTATGGTACGATATCTTTTTCCTAATCAAGCAGAAACAACTAACAAAGTAGGCAAAAGAGGGAAAAAAACACCACCGTACAAGTTGCTCCATTCCACAAAGCCCGCCAACATGGATTAATATTTGCTGGGGGAAAATCTCTCCACGCCCTCCCTTTTTATATTATACAGTTTGGACTACATATATCCCATTTGTAATTCTATAGTGGCTTTACAAATCGCACCAGAATTTAATCAGGTCTATTGACATTAGTGACAGTCAAAATATTTTTGCCATTCCTTCAGGGACAGTTTGTGATATGTTCTACTGTCCCAAAATGCGTTTATCACATCATTCTGGTTGAATTTTTTTTTTTTTTTTTTGCTTTGCTGAATGTGACTTTAGCTGTCTAGTCAGTTAGTGCATGAGGAGTGCTCTCAGTCATAGCATTAATGCCTTTGACAGTGGGCAAATGCTTTTCCCATAGGTGTGATCCTATTGATCTCTCTTGACATGTCAGCACAATCATTCAAAGCTAATAAAGCAAGTTAGTATCTGCAGGAAGGAGTGCAGGCTGGTATACCCTCACCCCATGAACAGTTCTGTTCAATGTAGCATGCATGAGTCCTGGAATTTTCCAGCTGCCTGACAAATACAGTCTCATATGGGAGTGAGGCAAGTTTTTATATGTTGCAACAAAGCTCCGAGACATGCTTCTTCTCTCTTCCGTCTACTTAGCATAGCTACTGCTAGTAACTCAAACTCCTCGTAAGTAATTGCTAATTTCTTTAGTCGCATGAATATTTCTGCAGGGAAGCATCATGTCAAATTTTAAAGCACAGAACTGCTTTAGGAGGTTTTGTCTCTTTTCCTAGCTCTGTTTTCAAGGACTGTTGAGGTCCTTGTATGGTGGATGCTATATAAATATGTGCCATGATGTCTAGCAGGAAACAAACTAGCTGCTGTGATCACTTTGCTAAGGGTGCATCTTTACTACAGGCTGGATTGATGGGCAGAGATAAATTGAGTGCTAAATGCTCTCCCATTGACTCTAGTATGCCACCAGAACTAGAAGAGTAAGCAGAGTTGACGGGAGAGCATCAGCTGTCAATTTATCACGGTGTCTTCACAATAGTAAGCAAACCTAAATATGTCGACTTTAGGTATGTTTTATGTAACTTGGGTCCATGTTACCGGAGACATGGCCTAATTTTAGCACATTTCGCTCAAGCAGAACTTTTGTGTGCATGTCAATCTGGCTTGGGAAGCACCCTCTCAGCTGCCGTGTAGATATTTCCTTAGACATGTACTGATATAACAGGTCAGAGAGTTTTATTTGTCCAATGGCTACGGAACCTTTGCTTCCTTGTACTCTTGGCTCTCCTTTGAATTCTGCCTAAAGCTTGAGCAGCTCTGGTCATAAAACACTGTCTGAGGGGAGCAATGTAAATATATTTCATAGCTCTGTGTCTATGCCAGGCTGTCAGTGTGCACATACCACTCTCTTTTGGTCACCCTCGTGCCTGTGTGCATCTTTTCACAGCAAGAGCACTAAGAAGTCATCCTTATCTTGCTTGAACTACCCTTTTTGCAGAAATGACACCCAGAATGTGTGAATTTGCTAGTAGATAAGGGGCCATTATATGAGACTATATTTGTGGGTTCTGACAAAATATTTCTTCCCTAATTGCAGTAAGGGGTGGGATTGGTTTTTTTTTATTTTTATGGTCTCATGTAGGGCTATTAACTGGACTCAGACACCAGTCCTGAGGTGTAGCCAGAAAAGAAGTGCCCCACTTAGTAAGCTGTACTAAACTGGACAGAGGAATTTTTGTCTCATGAATGCACTCCACCACATATGCCCCCCAAAACAGCACACTCACTTTCTGATTTTCTATACACTTTGTTTCTTAAAAACAAAGAGATGTATGTCCTACATGTGAAATTAGAAGTTTTTGCATTATCATCTCAGCACTGCCACCAATTTCCCTATGGCTTTGGACCTGTCATAATAATCTCTGTCTCCGTTTCTCTCCATTCCACCCCCCTCAGTCAGCAAAATGTTAGGGTTAACACCTACCTACCTTGTTTTGGGATCTAGTCAATGTTTGCAAAGCATCTTACAGTTGAAAAGTACACACTTTTGTCAAATAAAAATCTAAGCCTTTCTCCTGTTGATTTTCACTGTATTGAACAAACACTGTCAGTGACATCTTCTCTCCACCCCCTTCTCTGCTCTCCTCAGTATTACAGTTGTACGGCTCTAAGTAATGTGGCAGCCAACTCTCAGCATCATGAAGCCATGTTGCGAGTTGGTGACAGATTACTTCTGCGGACACTCATTTCTCTCCTCTCTTCATCTGTGGACAAGGTAAAGTGAAAAAGGTGGGGGAGGGAAGTGTGCTAAAGATTTGCTGATCATTTTCCTGATGTTTCTATAATTATGTATGCTATACTCAGTATGAAGAAGTTAGGATGCATTGCTTTACACTGTAATAAAGGAGCCCCAGGCAAATACAGAGGAGTCTCAAATGGTACTTTAGATCCCATAGCACGCAACTGAGGCACCTTCCTAGATGTGAGAATTTTCATACATTTCTGGCAAAGTTATAACTATTGATTGCACTTTTGCTTTGAACATCGAAATTGCCATAGAAACAAAGATGACCTGAGCTGCAGAGTTCAGATCTGGAGTCAAGTGTTCCCAAACTTTAGGGGTGATCACCTGCAGAGATTTGGTTTTGCTCATTGTAAGAGTTATAGGCTGTCACAGACTGTAGCAAGCACACCTTCCTGGCTGTGAGCTAGACTGCTCAGATGAATCTAAGCCCCGGCTATGCTGGGTGCCCAGAGGTTCTTGATTGGCAATTCTCAGGATGTATAAAATACATCCGTAGGGTACTGAAGGTTAGCAGAAGGCCTAAAAGGGACAAAAGATAACAGCTCTGAGTCAGCCTTGCTTTTTATCCAATCTCATCTTTGACATTTATCCCAATCCAGATACTAGTGTTAGATGTTGCTGATTATTACTTGGAAATATCTCTTACTTTCTTAGACCAGAAGAATATTTATTTCTTTTAAAGGACTAAATGGGGAAAAAAAAAGTTTTATTTCTTTTAAAGGACTAAATGGGGGGGAAAAAGCAAAGCAAATAAATGTGGTGCATTCATATCTGTACATATATGTGTTGGGATTAATGGTATGGGATGTTGCTGCACCCCTGACTTTATGTAGTTTCCATCATAAAAAGGGTTTATTGTTTGGGTCAATGTTTCTCAGTACTCGCGCTATACAAATTGTTCCAGCTTCCCTGTCTGGTCAGTTCATTTGACATTCCTGAGGTAAATCAGCACTGAGAATGCACTGTTAGATTCTGGGCACAGTGCTAAAATCCAATGGATATCGCTAATGTGTTTGACAATAATGAGAATTGATTAACAGGTTTGTGTGGCTGAGAATTAAGCTGGTGTTAATTCACATCAGTATGTACTGGCCTTCTGCAACCATTTCTGGAAATGAAACCCCAGAATAAACATTTTGTAGATAGTGTTTATTGGTTCATTTTAGCCAACAGAATCAGTTACTGGAGAGTTCACTTTTTTTTTTTATTGGGCACAACCAGGTTTCATGCCAGGCATGTGTTTGTCTGAGGAACTTGGCCACAAATGGTGAGTAATGTGTTTGGGAAATACTTATTTCTTTTTCCCCTTCTCCCCTCCCCTTCCTCATGGAGAGGAAAGTTGGTTGGGGAATTTCTTGCTTTTAGGAACCCAATTATGGCTGCTCCCACCAGGGTTCAGTACAGGGCAAGGGGAGCCCTTTCACCTCCAACACACCTGTCTAGGAGAAACCTATATTTTCTGTGGTTGGGGGTTGCGCTAGCTATCCCTGTCTTCAGTGGTCACAGGGCCAGAGAGGAATTGTCTGGGAAGGGTGTGGATAGAGTGTGAGATCACCGAATACTAGCAACTGATTAACACCTTCAGCTTTTTAAAGTGTAGCAAGACCTACTGCTAGTTATGCTCCCCTAGCATCCACAAAGCATAGAGCCCGAATAAGGGCAAGCGTAGATTGAAGTAGACATACGTGGGTCTGAGAGCAGTGGAGGCATGGCAGTGCATGCTTTGGCCCAGGCTGTACCAAGTCTACCTGGAATCCCGAGTAATTACCATTGCTAGCCATTGCAGAAGAGCATCTTGCTATGGCAGTGGCACCACTTCTCTGATACCTGTACTAGCTTAAAGTTGCCTGAGCTGCAATCACACCCTGTGACTTCAGTCCCCTGTGACTGGGTGAACTGGTTGAAACTATAGTAAAGAGCAGAATTGTTAGACACTTAGAACATAAGAACAGCCATACGGGTTCAGATCAAAGGTCCATCCAGCCCAGTATCCTGTCTGCCGACAGTGGCCAATGCCAGGTGCCCCAGAGGGAGTGAATCGAACAGGTAATGATCAAGCCATCTCTCTCCTGCCATCCATTTCCACCCTCTGACAAAGGGTGTTGGGGGAAGAGCCAACATGGTTTCTGTAAAGGGAAATCATACCTCACCAATCTTCTTGAATTCTCCGAGGTGGTCAAGAAGCTTGTGGACAAGGGGCTTCCAGTGGATATAGCAAACTTAGATTTTCAAAAGACCTTTGACAAGGTCCCGCACCAAAGGCTCTTAAGCGCAGTAAGTTGTCATGGGATAAGAGGGAAAGTCCTCTAATGGATCAGTAACCAAGTAAAAGATAGGAAAGAAAGGGGAGGAATAAATAGTCAGTTTTCAGAATACAGAGAAGCAAATAGTGGTATCTCCCAGGCATCTGTACTAGAACCTGTACCGTTCAACACATTCATAAATGATCTGAAAAAAGGGATAAATAGTGAGCTGGCAAATTTGCAGTTGATACAAAACTACAGGCAGTCCCCGAGTTACGTGGATCCAACTTGTCCTCCGCTGCGAGAAAAGCCGCTCCGCGTCTCCCTGATCTGCTGGGGGGGAGGGGGACCGCAGCTAGTGCACTCCCCCTCCCCCCAGCAGACCAGGCTTTTCTCGCTGACGCCTGGGGTAGAGCAGCTGGGGTGCTGCCGGGTTGGTCCAGTAGTGCCCACGGGCGCTGCAGGACCAATCGGCAGCGCCCCAGCTGCTCTACCCCAGGTGTTCCCAAGCAGGGGCAGATGACCGTTTTGCGGGGCCCCGGGCAGCATAATTCCGCGGGGCCCCCCTTTGCCATGGCGCATGCGCAGTGACACCATGCGCCTGTACAGCGGCGCCACGGCGCATGCGTGGGGCTTTCTGAAGCGCGGGGCCCGGGGCGGCCACCCCGTTCTCCCTGCCGTATATCCGCCCCTGTTCCCAAGTCAGCCGCTGGTCAGTTTCAGCAGCGGCTGACTTGGGGGCAGGGGCGGATATACGGCAGGGAGAACGGGGTGGCCGCCCCGGGCCCCGCGCTTCAGAAAGCCCCACGCATGCGCCGTGGCGCCGCTGTACAGGCGCATGGTGTCACTGTGCATGCGCCGTGGCAAAGGGGGGCCCCGCGGAATTATGCTGCCCGGGGCCCCGCAAAACAGTCATCTGCCCCTGCTTGGGAACACCTGGGGTAGAGCAGCTGGGGTGCTGCCGGGTTGGTCCAGTAGTGCCCACGGGCGCTGCAGGACCAATCGGCAGCGCCCCAGCTGCTCTACCCCAGGTGTTCCCAAGCAGGGGCAGATGACCGTTTTGCGGGGCCCCGGGCAGCATAATTCCGCGGGGCCCCCCTTTGCCATGGCGCATGCGCAGTGACACCATGCGCCTGTACAGCGGCGCCACGGCGCATGCGTGGGGCTTTCTGAAGCGCGGGGCCCGGGGCGGCCACCCCGTTCTCCCTGCCGTATATCCGCCCCTGCCCCCAAGTCAGCCGCTGCTGAAACTGACCAGCGCTGACTACAGGAAGCCCGAGGCAGAGCTGCTCTGCCCCAGGCTTCCTGGAATCAGCCGCTGATCAGTTTCAACAGCGGCTGAATCTGGACGCCAGTTCCGACTTACATACAAAGTCAACTTAAGAACAAACCTACATTCCCTATCTTGTACGTAACCTGGGGACTGCCTATATTCAAGATAGTTAAGTCTAAAGCAGACTCTGAAGAGTTACAAAGGGATGTTACAAAGCAAGGTGATTGGGCAACAAAATGGCTCATGAAATTCAGTGCCATTTGATAAATTCAAAGTAATGCACATTGAAAGATATAATCCCAACTATACATACAAAGTGATGGGAGCTAAATTAGTTGTTACTACTCAAGGAGATGCTGGAGTCATTGTAGATAGTTCTCTGAAAATATCCACTACAATGTACACCAACAGCCAAAAAAGCCAACAGAAGGTTAGGAATTATTAGGACAGGAACAGATAAGAAGACATCAGTTGTTATATATAATAAGACAAAAATATCATATTCCCCCATGCTATATAATTCCATGGTATGCCCCCATCTGAATTACTGCATGCAGATGTGATCACTCAATCTCAAAAATTTATACTGGAATGGAAAGTGCTCAGAAAAGGTACAGAAAAGATTCCTTATGAGGAATGATTAATAAGACTGGGACTTTTCAGCCTGGAAAAAAAAGATTACTTATAGGGGTTATGAGAGAATCTCTTAAAATCATGACTGGTATGGAGAAAGTAAATAAGGAAGCATTATTTACTCCTTTCCATAATAGAAGTAGGAGTCACCAAATGAAATTAATAGGCAGCAAGTTTAAAAGGCCAAGGTTATAACAGGTTCAAAAAAGAACTAGATGAATTAATGGAGGATAGGTCTATCAGTAGCCAAGCTAGGCAGGTATGGCATCCCTAGCCTCTGTCAGAAGCTGGAAATGGGTGCCAGGATAGATCACTTGATGATTGCTTGCTCTGTTCATTCCCTCTGGGACACCTGGCAGTGGTCATTGTCAAATGACAGGACACTGGGCTAGATGGACCTTTGGCCTGACCCAGCATGGCCATTCCTATGTTCTTAGAATGTCTCTTGAGATTGCTACTTGGGTAGATTGCCACTGCTTCCTCTTCCTGAGCACGGCTTTGCCTTTCATGAAGCATAATGTAACCTTACACATTTGCCATTTAAACCTTTTATACACGTATGACGTTTTTAAAAGACACACATAGTCTGAAAGAATGGGAAAAGGATCCTGACACCCTGCTGTGCAGCAAAGTGCTCTAGAGCAAACCTGTGTCTAGAATGTCTAGGTGGGCGTCTCACATACAGAGTGAATCTACTAAGATCTCATGATGGGAATTTTTTGCTCTGCTTGTACTAGTCCAAAAGTGTCACTGTCTTCTATGACTTCAGTAGAGGCTCAGACTCCATCTGCTGGCTGTTTGAAGGACACACACACTGCCCAAAAAGTATGAGCACAAAACAGGTACAGTGGCAGACGTACAAGAACCTAAACAGAACAGAATTTTCCCTACCAGGATTAATGGGAGTTTTATTTCCAAACCCTGTAACATTTGCATGTTGCTTTCTGTGTGGCAGAAGGCCACAAGAGTGTTGGCCAGTGAAGGATGCACAGCAATAATTTCCATTAGTCTTTCACACTAAAGAAATAACTGGGGATCTAAATCAGGAAAGCAGATGTATTTCTATGATGACATTTAAACTGTACATAGTTTATAAAGTGATTTGGAGAATTCAGGATGAAGGCCTGTATAAGCATACATTATAATTACAACTTTCTCTGCAACAATCATTGTAACTAGCTGTCTAAAAATAAGCACTGGTCTGTGATAGTGCAGAGATATAAGACCAATTGTACATGTGTCTAGTAGATCACAACTGGTTCCATCCTGCCACCTCCTTTTTGAGATGCCACCTATACCCATCCATCACTTAAACATCCCTAGTGTGATTATTGTTCCTGCATGATTCATCATGCTCTACATCTCTGACGTGGGCTCAAGGTGTTCTCTTTGATAATCTTGATTTTGATACATTAGTGTTCTAAATCATGAAACAGGTGTCATTTTAATTTGGGTTTACAAATTTTTTAGGGCAATTCTCATGAGCCATTTCTTATGCATCGCCCGTGTATTCTACATCTAAAATGAGTACTTCACTAGTACTTACTATTTAGTGATATGCAATTTAGTTCAGTTGATAGGAAACTAATTTGAAGAACTCAGTTGATCCACCCATATTGCCCTCGCAGCTCCCTGCCTGCCTTCAAGTTTGTTCCTTCAGAGCTGCCAAACTGTGTGTTTGTCTGTGGTATGACAAACAAGCCCTTTCCCTTCTGTGTCAATTTGTCTAAAAGCCACGTGACCACATCTCCAACCTAAATTCTCTCTCTCGGGAAGAAATGTTCTTCCACTATATAAGACTGAAGAGCAAATTGGAGCAGTTTCTTGGCTTGGGAGGAAAAGAAATACAATTTTGGGTACTTTTACTTTGGGACAGGAACCAGGCCTGTCCTTTTCCAATGTCTTCAAAATTGCTTTAAAATTACAAAATGGGAATCAGAAGATATGTAGTGTTCTTCCAATGAATCAAAGGCCAGAATCATCTCACTCCATCCTTTTGTACCAGGCCAGCAGTGGCAGGGGGTACTAAGACAATGGAAAAATGGTTGAGACAGGCTCGATCTCTATCTGCACACACACATACACACCTTAGCTCATGAATTTTAACTCAGTCCGGCAAATTCATTTCAACAAGGCAGACAAGACCTAAGTGCTTTCAAAGCTATATTCAAACCTGGATCCACACTGCTCCTTTGGGCACAGTGTTGCTTGAGGGTGACAGAACAGATGAAGCTTGATTTCTATAACTTGGTAAAATGCAATTTGGCCTTGTCTGGCCAAGGAGGGAGAGACATAGGTAGATAGACTAACTTAAGACAGAATGGTTTAACATACATGAAGATAGCACCAGAACTGTGCCACACACCTTTTAACAACATTTTACCTCACTCTGAGCCGCTGTCATTCTTCCAAACAGTAAACATTCAGGCGGAGATCATTGCTATGGACATCCTGCCCAAGCTGCTCACTCTTCTTGCATCTAACAATTCAGATGTTCAACAAGCTTCTGTTGCACTCCTCTGGATATTATCTCAGCACCCAGCTAACCAGGTAGGGGTGATAGTTGCTGAATAGCAGGGCCGGGAGAATAGTTTTCGTCACTGCCTGGGATAAAACTTTTAATTCCCTGTAACTAAGTAATGTTACGGCACAAATGTTAATGTTGCATATAGTGAACTAAAAGACTTGCCCAGGTCCCTCAGGACAGGAGGCTGGCAGTGTGGGTGGTGCAGGAGTCAGGGCACAGCAGCAGGGGGTATGGGAGGGCAGGGGCAGAAGGCTTGGGGAAGTGGGGGTGGGAGAGTGAAGGCTGGGGGGGGTGAGAAGGGGCTCAGGGCAGGGGGTCCCATTTGATGGGGCTTTCCCATCTCCGCCGCCATACTCTGCTGACTACTACTCTGGAAGCACGGCAGGGCTAGGATGAATAGCAGGACACAGAAACAGTGCGCTGAGACAGTCCGGGGAAGGAAGCTACTTTTAGCTACAGGGCTTGGCATAGTAATATTGTCAGGGCCTGTCAGCATCTGGCAGACAGTCCGGGGAAGGAAGCTACTTTTTAGCTACAGGGCTTGGAATAGTAATCTTGTCAGGGCCTGTCAGCATCTGGACAGTGGAAGTTCAAATGAATTAATCTCCTTTGAAGAAGCACTAAACTAAAGTAAACTAAAGCCACTTTACTTCTGTTTGAGAGCATCCACACCAGGGTGAAGATGCTTTAATTGTCCTTTTGTGGGCAAACCATTAGTTAGGATTTGGCTATTTTGTTCAAGGCAAACAGCACCGCAGTGAAACGTTATTGCTAATGCCTGAGAACCTGAAAACAAAATTGATTAGACGTAGACTATAAAAACAAACAAAATGCAGTAAGAAATGCAAAAATAAACAAAGTATAAGACAATGAAAAGCGACCATCTCTACAATAATTTCCATTACAATAGCTAAGGATTCACTAGTAATTTGAGTAAGGAAAATTTAAAATAGGATTTTTAAACTAACAACCTATTAAAACAGTTTGCATTTAAGGACGTCGACAAAAAGTGGAAGCCTATCATATGATGTAGCTTTATATAGTAGTGACAAGATAATCTGACCACCCATGGCTTGTTTTAGGGGCTTTTAGTGACTAATTACTGAAATAAATTCATGCTGGCTCAAAACTCCCACAGGGAACTGCAGACCTGGTGGTTTGTACATCAATTCATCTTGCACATACAGCATAGTATGGGCAAAATTATGCCTCCTACAATTCAGTGGTGTTCTGGGAAAGGAGAAAGGGTGCAGTGCCCAAGCAGAAGTGCCTGGAGATATAATGCCTTTCAAAAGAATTGTGCATATTATTTATTTGAATTGCCTTAACACTAGGGGGGTCCCAGTCATGGATCTGGGCCCCATTGAGTGAGGTGCTGTAAACACAGAATTAAAAGTCAGTCCCCTCCCCAAAGATGGATCTGGGCCCCATTGAGTGAGGTGCTGTAAATACAGAATTAAAAGTCAGCCCCCTCCCCAAAGTTTACACCGGGGTGGGGAACCGGATCCGGCCTCTAGCTCAGGGCTCCTCCCCAGTCTTGGCAGATCTGGAGCACAGAAAATCCACTGGCTTGGGGCTCCACTAGGCTCTGGTGTGCAAGGGGAATGTGGGGAGTGTCTTTCTTCTCAGTTGGGGGCCACGTCAGTGAGGGTTTAATTTTTTTTGTTTGTTTCTCAGTTGTGTGTGGCCCCCCCGACTGATTTTTCTGTGGGTCAGTGGCCCCCGACCCAAAAAAGTTTCCCCACCCCGGTTTACACTTTAAATAAGTGAAATCACTGGGGTTACTGAAGTGTTACTCAATATGAGGAATCATGTCAGAATTTTACCTCAGTAATAAAGCTGTTAATTTTACAAGAAAGAGCTTCTTGCAGTTCAACCTGCTCTTCCCCCACTCCCACTCCCTACAAGTTATATATACAACCAACTCCTTCATGGCTTCTGAAGTACGTGTATGTCAAGGATTTCAGCCAAACCCCCAGTCACATGAAAGACACATGCTGGCTATGCACAGCTGGAACAGCCAACATAACCAAAGGTTCACAGTGGTTACATCAACAACAAAACTACCAAACCACACCCAAGAGGGGAAGGGTAATATACATGGGTCTGTGATGGGACACTTGGAAATGAAATGTCATCTGGTGAGAAGCATTTGCATTTTGAAATTTATTTTAGTAAGCAAACATCATTGTCACTGACTGTTGAATGTTGCTGCATTGTGAGATTAAACTTATAGTATCTAGACCAGGGTCTGATCCATTGTTCCTTTTCTCGCACTCCCACCCATCAGCCTATTTTTCAGCTCTTTTCAAGGTTTCCTTCTGTAGCCTGACCTGAATTCTGAATGAATTAGAGAAGGACTGTTCCCTGGGAACTGCTGTAGGAAAACAAACTGCGGAACAAAGCTAACATTTACAAGTAAATGAAGTAATGCTTGAGTCATTACAAATACTACCCAATATACAATAGGGTAAAATTCATCTGCCCTTTGGTTACCGTGGATTTGATCAGATGGAATGTTCAGTGGAGCGTCATTCCTTAACAGAAAGCCACGCTGTGATTCACCGGCTTCTAACAGAATACTGTATTAGTTTCCGTACTGCAAAGAGAATTTTGTTCAGTTCTGTCAAGGGCTATCCAACCCCAAAGCTCTAATAGGTTTAATAATAATAAACAGCCTTTTCAGTCCAAGATGAAGCCCTGGTTGTTAAAGCAAGGGATAAGGATTTAGAACATGTGGTTTCTAGTCCCAGTTCTGCAACTGACCTGCTGTAGGATACAAAATAACTTTGCTTCTCTTCATCTCAGTTTCACCATTTGTAAAATGGGAAAAATATTTATCCTTGCTAGCACTCTTCATTGAGGCTCTCAGAGTGCTTTACAAAGGCAAGGCATTACAATGATAAACAACATTTGCTGCTAGAAGGCTTTCCCTGGCCATTGTGGATTAGGATCTTTTTTTCAGTTCAAACTACTACATCTGGGGAAGAAGCTTGGCCAATACTCATCTGAATCTGTTCACTCATCTTCCACTGAGAATGTTGCCTCTGAGGCTCTCCTTCACTGAACGGGGGATTGCAATAATGAACTTGGAATGTGGGTCTCTCATATAATTGCAAAATACTGCCAGGCCCCATGAAAATGTAGCACTCTGGCGAGAAGCATTTGCATTTTGAAATTTATTTCCCATCAGATGGGATAGTGATCAAATATATGTTCTACATAGATGAGGGAGATTGGTAGTGAAGCCATCATGTGTATGGGAAGAATTCATTTTGGCTATGTCTAAACTACAAGCCTCTTTTGAAAGAGAGCATCTAGACTGCAACCACTTCTTTCAAAAAAGCAAACCGCTTTTTCAAAAGAGAGCACCCAGGCAGTCTGAATGCTCTCTTTTGAAAAAGCACTGTTTGCATTCAAGAATGCCTTTTTTCAAAAGAGCACTTTTGAAAAAAGGAGTTATTCCTCGTAAAATGAGGCTTACCGAGTTCAAAAAACTGCCACGTTCTTTCGAGTTAATTTTGAAAGAACGCGGCGGCAGTCTTGATGCAGGGGAAGTTTTTTCGAAAAAAGGTTACTTTTTTCAAAAAAACCCTGTAGTCTAGACACACCCTTTTAGTCTGCACTCTACTACTACCGCTACTGCTGATTCAAGTTGGGAGTTGCTCTGCTGAAGTCAATTTGAGTTACACAGGTTAAAAAAAAGGGGTCAGAGATATAGTATCCAATTCCAAAATGGTCTTTACAGGTAACTGAACACATTCTGGGTAGCTAACTTTAGGAGAGTTATATCTATGAAAGAAGGGACCATCATCAGATAAATTCACAAGCATATATGTGTATATACCACACCCTGATTGAAATCTAACATGTAAACATCTGAGCTTATTAAGATATATTTTGTTCCTTGAGTTTAACCACTGTACTGTACTTTGGTTTTATTTTCTTCCATGGTTTGCTTCAGCATTTCAACTCGTGACTATGTTTGGAATGGAAGAATCGGAAAACGTCAGCCACTGTCAAGTGAAAATAGCCCTTATGTAACAAACTGCACATCAAGAAAGATATAATTTAAACTTAAAGACCTCTAACTTTAACACTGCTTCAATGAGCCTGACATTTCCAAAACTCCAGCGTAACATCTTTCACCTTGGAATGCATACAGGGTTAAAGATTTAGTACATACTTGTTAAGTTGCCTCATAAAGACACACATTGTTGATTTTACACAAAGCACTGTCAAAAGCCCAAAACAAACAGGCTGAAAGAACAGAGACACGTCTTCTTTGCTAACCTCTTAGCTACAATATGATTTTAGGTATTGCTTGCAATTCTGGGTCTGATCCAGAGGTCACAGATGTCATGAGAGTTTCTCCACCAAGTCACAGTTCACCTTACTGAAAAATAGTTCACATTAATACCAGGGGGACGTGGTGGCCAGAAATTCCAAATGTGGTGTCAGGGTTCAATCCCATTGGTATTAGAGAAACCTGGAAGTTCAGCAAGAGGTAAGCTTGCTGAAAGACCTTAAAATATCAAAAGGAGAGGAGAGAAACTAATGTACATTTTTGAAAAGGTCTTTTAAAAAGGAATTTCAGGAATATGATATTCAAGAGCACATGATCACAAATAGTCTGTTTTAAAACAAATCAAATTGACCATATCTGTAAGCAAAGGTTGCTTAATGAACTACCTCTTCTATTTACCATTACCTAGAGCAATGCCCTTCTCATCCACAGTCAAATTTTCCCTTTGGTTACTACAGCCATTGATTAGCTGCCACAGTAATATTTAAGAAGTATTTGATAGGATTTGTCAGCTGAAAATGGGGATTGTCAGCCAGCATCATTGGACCAATCACCTCATCCCTCCAGCATGTGTTTGGTGTAACAGGAGTGGGTTGCAATTTGAGAACTACGGTATGAAACTGCAGCTGTGCTGCAATTAGCTTAAAACAGTTTAGTCATGCTCTGCTTTCAGAACTGGGTAGTCCTATTGATGACATCACATCACATGCTTTATCACAGTCATTATCAAAAGCAACTGAATGGCTTGTTGCTCTTTGCAGGACACTCTAATGCAGGAAGAGGTGTTGCAGAACCTGGGGGTGCTGCTGTTAACTTGCCAGAAAGACCCAGCGATTGTTGGTCTCTCAGCCTGTATAATAAAAAATCTGAGCCTTTTCAAAAATGTACAGGTGAGTACCAGTTTTTCTTCTCAGAATTATACCCTGGAAGGCTGCACTTCTAGCTATATCAAGAAAGAGTTTCTCACACCAAAAAAAGGTTTTTAAAATTATATGAAAATAAACGGACACCACTCTAGGCCTGCTCCTGTTCCCACTGAAGTCAATGGCAAAACTCCCAGACCATGTCTAAACTACGCGGAAGATCAATACTGCCCCAGTCAATCTTCCAAGGTTCAATGTAGCGGGTGTAGCCTAGAGCTCTAGATCAAACTCACTGGACACTCCTGTCAGTGCGGTACTCCTGCTCCTCATGAGTAAGGGAAGCCAATGGGGGAGGGATAGCTTAGTGGTTTGAGCACTGGCCTGTTAAAGACTGGGCTGTGAGTTCAATGCAGGGGGGGAGGGAGCCATTGAGGGATCTGGGGCAAATCTGTCAGGGATGGTACTTGGTCCTCCTGTGAAGGCAGGGAACTGGATTTGATGACCTTTTATGGTCCCTTCCAGCTCTGAGAGAAAGGAGCAACAACAACAAAAAAAGATATACCCGTCAACCTCCTACTATGTCGATGGCATGGAAATGCAATGCAAGATATGGCAACTCCAGCTACATAATTAACATGGCTGGATTTGCATATCTTACTTCACCTTCTGTGAAGTGTAGACCAAGCCCCAGAGTGTACAAGTGGGCCGGATCCAATGCGCCATACTAAAAGTTGTCTCTTATTTCTGTTCTCTTTGTTACAAAGTATTAAATGCTGTGAAAGAGCAGCAATGTTTAACTTGTCATACAGACCAGTGACAGAGCCTCCAGTGACAGAGCCTCACAGTTCAAGTAGCTACATTTTTCATTTAGTGCAGTGATACTCAGACTTAGTTCAGGAGCCAAATTAGTGATCAGCATTATCCAGAAAAGCCATAGTAGAGGGAATTCACTGGAGCCAGTGCTTGGGGGGAGTTGGCTTTTAAGCTGGCTCCCTGCAAGCACCAGCTCCTGCCTGTCCCCACTGCTGCCTTTGATACAGAGGCAGCAGCACAGGGCGCAGGTGGCTCTGCAGCTCAACCAATGAGCCGAGGCTTATTGGTTAATTGTGTAAATGGCTACACACTAACATCCCTAATCAGATATACACACGCACATTGGGCTACCCACATTCTCCATGCTTGCTTAATCAGCTGCCATGTGACCCAAATCCTCCCATTTCAAAGTAAATTTTTTCTATGTCATAGATCATTGTATGGTTCCAACTCATCCTAGGTCTACTCCTCTTTCTTGTTGGATTTTCTGGCTCCAACTGAGAGCCATAATCGTGGCTGGTTATGATCCATTCATAACACATGCCCTAGTCATTGATGTCTTTTCTTACAAATTATTTGTATTAGAGACTTCACTTTAGCCAATTTCCTGTCCTCAACCTTTGTTTTTCTCTTAGCTTCCTCATAATATTCTCCTCGAGCACTTATGATGAAAGTGCTTCATGTAACTTCTGAGCATCTATTTTCTTAAATTGCCAGGTTTTACTGCTGTAGGTTGCTATGGCCACAACGATGGCTGACTAGATGCTTAGTTTTGTATGTAAGGATATGGTAATAGATTTCCAAATGCTCTTAAGTTTACCGAAGGCTGGTTTTGCTTTGCCAATCCTTATTCTTATTTCCTCAGAGCACGTACCACCATCTTGGCTTGTTGTGCTTCCAACACATTTGAATCCATCTAACCTCTCTAGCTGTTCATTGCTGATTTAGATGTTTAAAGCCATATCTCCAATCTTATTCTCACAGCAAAATGACCGAGCAAGTATTAGTTTATCAACTTTAATTGGCTAACAACATAGTGAATACTAGGTGGCAACAGTTTATGCTTGTAATATTTAAGATAGAGTGAAATAATGAAGCCAAATGAAGTGCCCCACATCCCAATTCACTCTTAGCAGGTTCTACTGTAACTATAAAGAAAACTGGGTTTTGCAACAAATTTCATGTAAAGAAATGCAACTATGAACGGATTTTCACATCCGGCATTTAGTCAGAGCTACTTCAGCAATAGCTGTATATTATAACAATATATTGTTATAACCATGTTCCTTCATAACAGCAACGTGCGTGTGCACGCGCGCACACACACACACACATATATACACACACACACACATATATGTAGCAGGGAGGTTTCAGGCACAGAGGAATTAAGGTTTTGTCTACACAGCCAAATGTAAAGCACTGCTGAGGCAGAATTTTATTGCAACAGGGAGGTAAACCACTTCCACAAGGGGAGAAGCTAACAGCACTGGGAGCCTGTTTACACTGGTGCTTTACAGCACTGTAACATGCTGTGCTTGGAGAGAGGGCTGTTTTTTAGACACCCAAGTGAGAATATTACCGCAGAGTGAAGTGGCAGTATAGATGAGCTTTATGTGATTTGCCAAATTCAACCAGAAGGTATGAGGCAGAGTGAGAACTGAATCCTCATCTTCAAAATCCTAGTCCAGTGTATTAAGCACAAGAGAATCCTTCCTTTTCACACGGGATGTCTGTGGCTAAATATTTATTCCTGTGTTTGGATAGCCCTCCATTCATCCACTGCCTTTCTGCTTGTCCAAAAAAGTACACAAGCCCCAGTCAAAAAAAACCAAGATTCTTGCAAGGGAGCTGGAAACAATTTGCATAGTGCAGGTGCTAAGAGCCATTGAACCAAACTGTAAATGAAGGTTATTCAACTTCGGAAGCCCGAGGGGCCACAACGATACTCAGAGCACATGCCGAGGGCCACAATTTAAGCATAATTGCATATACTTGCAAATACATATGCAAATATATGTAAATAGCTTCTATCACACTGATGGGCATGAATACAAAGATTAAGGCAAGATTGCAACAGTACACAGGTCCCATTTAAGTCAGTTCTGTTGATATTAATAAAATGCTATATTTACCCAATTTTCTACCCACATGACAGCATTTTTAATGAGCAATGACAGTCCAGGAATTTAACTACTAAAACACATATCAACAGAAGACCATTATATTGACTCGCCATTGTGGTGTGTATTCCTAGTGGAAGCCATATTCAAAGGATCCCACCTACAGGCCGTGTGCTGAGCCCTGCATAAACCCAAATTACACTGCAGGCCACAAACAGGCTGCAGGCTGCATGCAGCCCACGGGCCACATGTTGAGTAGCCTTACTGTAAACCCTGTATACAGTTCTAACACATAGGGAGCCTTAGATCTCTCAAACCTTTCCTAAGTCCCACCATTTTTTCCTTCTAGAAAATTCCTTAAGTCCTCCTTCCTGGCCAAAAAGCCTACAAAAAGCCAAGACTTTGTAGATCTCATAGGTCAATGATTGAACAGGTTCAGAAACAAAGCTAGCATAGGATGCCATGCTTTCTTCTTGGGGCTTTCAGTGCTTTGTAAAGCTTTTTTACCACTCTTCTATTAACTTCCCGCAAGATGAAGGATGCTTCAATACATAAATTTTTAGAGTTACTCTGCCCTTTCAAGTGGGCAAGTGTAGTTTGTACTCTTCTGATTGGAAAAGCCTATAGCACATTTCAATAATTCTTCTAATTATACAGTAGACATTAACACTGAGCAAATTCCACAAACTCCTTCAAATTCTAGTTTCATGCATCTAAGCCAAGCTGTTTCTTGATAGCCCAAGAGGTGAACCATTGAAGATTAGAAGCACGGATTTGGGGTATTGGCATCCCTATAAAGGGAGATTTAAAAGTCTGAGATTAAAAGGGGGCTCACATCAATGGTTCAGATGAAAAGAAGTTATATCAAGTAATGTATTACTTATAACTGTCAAGATGCCTATAACCATCTGCATTGCCTGATACAACTCCAGCTCTGGTGAAATCTCCATCCATGAATTCAATTTCTCACCCCTTTCCTATTGAGACTCAGTACTCTTGGGCCATCTTCCTACTTTTAGGTGGAAATACAATCACATTATCCAGAAACAACTCCACTGGCTTCCCATTTAATCCAGTTTTATTTTTTTTCTCCTTGTTTTTGAAAGACTTCTCTGTACCTGCTTTACTCTCTGTCCTTCCTCCAGCAGTTGTGTTGCTTCCTTTCTGTCTCTGCATATAACCTGATTACTTCTGGTGCAAGAGTCTTCTTCTCTGCAGCTCAAGTCACATTTTTCTGCCTCACTGACTTACCTCATTTTAAACCTGGAAACCAACTTTTCCTTCCTTTTCTGCATCTTAATTTCTCCTTCCTACTATTTTCGTTCTTCATTTAACCTTATAGAGTAGAGCATGTGGTACAGTTTATTATGAGACAAACACTGCAATATAAAACAAAGCTGTTTTTATTATAAATAGAGAAAATTAGTCTTGCATTCCTCTTTCCTGTCTTCATAACACAAGACATCATTCACTGAATCTGGAAGATGCATGTGAAAGAAAGACATTGATGTAAACATAAGGAATTTGCTATTGCTGAACATTGGGGCAAATATCTTAGCAAGATTCAAACAGATTAGAAATCTGAGTGTCTAATAACCTGCTCAGATACAACGTATAATATAAATAAGGTTTCACAGTTCTCATGGTTCAAGGCAGAAAACTGATCACAAGTTAGGGACAACAAGAGAATTTCCCCAGACCATATTTTATGACAATCAGTTTTCTTGTCATGAACCCAGCCTGATCAGAGTCTAGTAGTTCATGTGTTCAACAAGCATTGATGTTACAGATCACCAAAGCAGAGCTACCAAGAACAGCTATGGCTATTCCCTATAACAGACAAACACATTCTTCTGAACTGAAGCCCTGGAGGAAGAGTAAAGGAAGGACCTCATTTTCAAAGTTTGCATTTTAGAAAGAGATATGTTGATAATTTTGGCTAACAATTGTTCTCTGATGAAAAGAGGATCATTTCATTTTTTAAATGCTTTGTGGGTCATTTTAAAAATGTTTAACATTTTTACCACACAGACTAAAAGTGTTGTTACTCTGCCCCAATGCACGTGTGACCCAGCTGACCTTACTAGTAGTGTCTCATTGTCCATCCTGAGGAATTGCCTGGAAACCATTTAAAGGTGTTTATCACATGAAAAACAAAACCAAACAAAACCTTTGTCCCAACAGGATACTCAAGTGTTGTGGCTGAGCTTGAAAAGCAAAGTCTTGAACTAACCTGGCCCCCCTCAGTCTGTGAGCAACCAGGAAAAAAAATATATGTATAAAAAAATCATGTTCAAAGGCTAAATATACATTTGTTTTGCCTGGAAGTAAGCCAGCTCCCTGACTGAGTTATAGAGCATTTCCCCCATATAGCCTTTTTCTGCACTCTGCAGAAAATTTGTCTTTCTGGCTATGTCTACACTGCACAATTATTTCAGAATAAGATTTTCCGGAATAGTTATTCCGAAATAGCTTATTTCAAAATAGCATTTCTACACTGCAGGGAAGCCTCAAAATTTGTCTGAGGCAGGGCTCCCTAATGTAGACATGCTATGTCAATTCAGGGCCCTGGTGAGGGGCTATTTCAAAATAGCAGAAGTAGAGTGTCTAACATGCCTTATTTCAAAATAACTATTTCGGAATAGGCGTTATTCTTCGTAGAATGAGGTTTTCAAAAGTTGGAATAAGCCGTCTGTTATTCTGAAATTTTTTCAAACTAACGGAATTGCTGTATAGACGCTCGCAGAGTTATTTTGGAATAACGGCTGCTATTCTGAAATAACTTTGCTGTGCAGACACAGCCTCTGGCGGAAAGGATGAACAACTACTTATGAGTCTTAGACCAGTAAGTGTTTCAAATAAGTAGGCTGCTCCTTCTGTTGTCTGGCAGGGGTCAGCCATGAGAAGGAAGCTGGAGCAGATCCTGCCCTTAGATAAGACTTCTGCGTTCTCTATCACCTGACTAATTCATGAACTGTAGAGCTCCCCTCAGGCACTTAGCTGGGAAATCCCAGTAACTCGGTCCCTCTCCCACCCTTCTGCCTCAGCCAGACTCTGACCCTCCAAGTCCAAGATGGGAAAACCTTTTCCCTTCAGGCCAGCCCTTCTCTGTAGCAAAACCATTGTTTTACTGATACACCTCAGATTTCAAGACAATCACAGTTAATGACTTTTGTGTTAGCTCTTCACAGAGGTGTGAAGCATTACCATAAGATGCTCTTGATCTATCCTTGACATCTCTAGGTAACTACACTGACATGCTCAAAATGTAGGTCACATTTCAGAATGGTGATTATGCTGTCAAGTTAAGGTCATGTTTTATGAGACAACACCAACCCATTACAACTCATCCTTGCTACCATTGTTCTTTCAGCAAGGAATCCAGCTAGTGCTAATCACTTGTTACCTTCTCACAGCTGAGAAAAGGAACTCCCGCCCATTCACATGTTAGGAAATCCACCTTTAGGAACTACCAGATCTGACCAGGGTCTGAAGGTTGGAATGATGATTCCTCAAGCCTCTTCCAGTAACCTGGAACTATGCTTGTGGCCTAGCCATGCTAATGGATTTTTTTCTTTTAGTGAAAAAACTATGGCAGAGGGTGGATTTCACAGCCCTTGGATTTAGAAGAACTTGTATTCAAGGAAGAACTGTTAAAAAAAGTTTCACTGGATGCTAATTTTACTGTGCATACCCTGCTGGCACAAAACACCACAATAGCACTAGAATCCTATGATACTTTTTACTATTTTTTCCGTTTGATAGATACAGTTCTCTGCAAAAGAATGTCCTTCCAAGCCTCAAGGGCCGTGAGACTCTAAAGGTAGTTATGGATAAATGTGTTATGTGATTTAAAATATATTTTTCCAACACTGCAGCTTAAGGGAAACTGATGCCCAAAAATATGTTTGAGCAATTCACAATTTGAATAAATGGTAAATTTTCAGATTGGAGAGGGGTAACTAGTGGTGTACCCCAAGGGTCAGTCCTGGGACCAATCCTTTTCAACTTATTCATAAATGATCTGGAGAAAGGGGTAAGCAGTGAGGTAGTAAAGTTTGCAGATGATACCAAACTGTTTAGGATAGTCAAGACAGAAGCAGACTGTGAGGGACTCCAAGAAGATCTCACCAAACTGAGTGATTGGGCAACAAAATGGCAAATGAAATTTAATGTGGATAAGTGTAAAGTAATGCACATCGGGAAAAATAACCCCAACTATACGTACAGTATGATGGGGGCTAATTTGGCTACGACAAATCAGGAAAGAGATCTTGGAGTTATCGTGGACAGTTCTCTGAAAACTTCCACACAGAGTGCAGCGGCGGTCAAAAAGGCAAATAGGATGCTAGGAATTATTAGGAAAGGGATAGAAAATAAGACCCAGAATATCTTACTGCCCCTGTATAAAACTATGGTACGCCCACATCTTGAATACTGTGTACAGATGTGGTCTCCTCACCTCAAAAAAGATATTTTGGCCTTGGAAAGGGTTCAGAAAAGGGCAACTAAAATGATTAGGGGTTTGGAACGGGTCCCATATGAGGAGAGGTTAAAGCGACTGGGACTTTTCAGTTTAGAAAAGAGGAGACTGAGGGGGGATATGATAGAGGTCTATAAAATCATGAGTGGTGTGGAGAGGGCCGATAAAGAAAAGTTATTTATTAGTTCCCTAAATAGAAGAACTAGAGGACACCAAATGAAATTAATGGGTAGCAGGTTTAAAACTAATAAAAGAAAGTTCTTCACACAGTGTGTAGTCAACCTGTGGAACTCCTTGCCAGAGGAGGCTGTGAAGGCTAGGACTATAATAGAGTTTAAAGAGAAGCTAGATAATTTTATGGAGGTTAGGTCCATAAAAGGCTATTAGCCAGGGGGTAGGAATGGTGTCCCTGGCCTCTGTTTTTCAGAGGCTGGAGAGAGATGGCAGGAGACAAATCGCTTGATCATTGTCTTCAGTCCACCCTCTCTGGGGCACCTGGTGCTGGCCACTGTCAGTAGACAGGATACTGGGCTAGAAGGACCTTTGGTCTGACCCAGTACGGCCGTTCTTATGTTCTTATGTAATGCAATATGACATATGCACCCCACCACTGCTGTGTGGATCCTGCAACCAGTGCCCTGATCAGCTGTTTATATGTCAGGGATGGTGTAGACGGAGCTTGATCCTGCCTTGAGGGCGGGGGGCTGGACTCGATGACCTCTCGAGGTCCCTTCCAGTCCTATTATTCTATGATTCTATGATTGCAAGGCTTAGCTGCATATACAGAGCTATCATGTCACCTGCCTTCCTCCCGCCAGGGAAGCAGTGCTCCCTTGCTGTTTCATTCAGTAAGGCCACACCTAAAACACCTTCTAGAGATCTGGGCATTTGAATGCCAGAAAGTTGCCAAAAATGTGGAGGTAATTCTGAGAAAAAACAATAAGCTTCTGTGCTGTGTGGCATACAGTAATTCACTATACTGACTTTTTGGTCTGCATCAAAACATCAGCACACGATGACCTTGCAATAAAATACATCCCAACACAATGACTCACCACATGACATTTTTTTGGCTCTACAAATGATCTGAGATCCTGTAACTTCAAGCTTGCCTTCTCTCCCACCAAAGTAATGCATCTTGTCTATCATGGATAAGCATGTGGCAATTGTTAGCAGTCGCCCACTTTATCCTTAGTATGCGGATTAATTAGTTCATGTATGTGAAGGCTTTGGGATTTACAAAGCACTGTAAAAGAGCTAAATATTTCTCTTTCATCAGAGAATCATTGAAAGTCCATGTGTAGGAGGACTTCTCCAGGCTATCCTGTCTACTGAAACTCAAGAGGAATCTCTTCATTACCTGACATGTTCTCTTGCCGAGCTGGCAAAGCATGGTAAGGCAGCAACCGCATAGCAAGCAGTCTAATCTCATGACCAGTGTTCCTTCTAAACTGCATGGCAGCACAGCTTCCCAAGTGAGTAATCAGCCCCACCCAGTCTGAGCAACACAGCTTAGAGGGAACACTGCTCATAACATGCATTCATCTCTCATTATTGTTAAAGAAAGACTAGGGGGCTGTGCTCCCTGCGCTTGCCAACCCCCCTGTTGCGGGGGGGGGGCATTAATCTCATGACCAGTGTTCCTTCTAAACTGCATGGCAGCACAGCTTCCCAAGTGAGTAATCAGCCCCACCCAGTCTGAGCAACACAGCTTAGAGGGAACACTGCTCATAACATGCATTCATCTCTCATTATTGTTAAAGAAAGACTAGGGGGCTGTGCTCCCTGCGCTTGCCAACCCCCCTGTTGCGGGGGGGGGGCATCCTTGGCTCTCCCTCCAAGCCACTAGGGAGGGCTAGGCTGCAGCCGTGTCAACCACGG